GTCAAAGCACATATGTCTGATGCTCTAGAATCAATTATCCAAGAATCTGATTTCAAACTATTAAACACTGATCCTGAGTATTTCAGAATAGTACCAGCCACATCATTTTCATTGATTCCTGAACTTCCTGTTTGTGCTGATTTTGCCTGTTTGTATATCTCCATCATTTCTGCAATTTGTTCCTTGCTGAAATGTTGTCCAAAACTGCTACTGTTGGTCTCATTGCTCTGCCCTGTTGTATTATCTTCCTCATGTGTTGTTGCCACATTTGCCTTGACATGATTCTGATAAGTCTTTGGGTTAGTGAATTCAAAATCATCAGGGAACCCAATCAGTCTGTAGCAGTCCTCTTGTTTATGTCCTATCTTCCCACAATAGGTACAAGATAGATTAGGATTATATTTCTTCTTCCCTCTGAATTTCTGTTGTGGCCTTGCAACCTTTTGAGCTGGATTGTTGAATTTTTGAGCAGTCATTGTTCCTCTAGGGGCCTGATTTCTGAACCTTTGATTATTCCTTCCTTGTCTTGCTGCCATGAAAGCTGCAAAGTCAGCAAAAATCTGTGCATTTTGTTGTTTCCCTTGTCCAGCCACCATGAAAGATGTAGAATCTGAACTGAAATGTGCATTTACATATATTTCCCTTTGGTTCTCATCCTGCAAAAGTAGTGAGTATGTAATGTCCACGCTAGGTAAAGGACTCATCATAAGAATGTTTCCTCTAGCTTGTGCATATACATCATTCAATCCCATCAAAAATTGAATCAACCTTTGATCTTCCAAAGACTTAGTCAGTTTAGCCTTTCCCTCACACAGACACACACATGAACAAGTTATGATTACATTTAGTGCATCTAATTCATCCCACAGTCTCTTAATTTTGGTGAAGTATCCAGCAATATTATTGTTACCTTTTGTTAAACTTGACAACTCCTTTTGCAGGTGGAAAAGTTTGGCACCATTAGATTTGCCAAATCTTTGTTCCAAGCTGTCCCAGAGTTCTTTAGCTGTTTTTGAGTATATGACACTGTCAGCAATATCTTTTGATAGAGCATTTAGAATCCAAGATGTAACCATATCGTTGACACAGCTCCACTGCTTATATTCAGTAGAGTTCAGATCTGGAGCCTTGCAAGCCCCATTGATGAATCCAAGTTTCTTCTTGGCTGATAGGGATAGAAGAATGGATCTCTTCCATCCCGGATAACCTCTTCCATCAAACACAGTGTTGACAAGGGTCATCCCAGGTGAATCTGAGTTGTTAAGATGATATGGATAATTAATGTTATATCATGCTGCCTTAGGAGTGTTCCCAGTTTCTACAGCTATGGTTTCATCAGTGGTAGACATCTTTCTTCACTTGGAGCTGTAGGATGGAGTTTGGTTATTGATTATTGTTCTTGGATCGAGCTCAATGCTCTGATACCATGAAGGATTTTGAAAATTCAGCTGTGCAGAATCGAAGAAATAGATGACTGAAGAATTAGAGAAATTTTTTGTGTACTCATTCAATTGTTTGTACATGTATATATACACAATTGAGTGTTGAATAAAATAAAGAAAAAGAAAAATACTATTTACACTTGTCCTATTTGTATTTGTCTAATTGTAACAACAAAATTCTATCCTAACTAACAATATTCCCTCACGTGATTTTCTGGTGAGGTAAGAAGCTTCTACTAGTTAAATAAATCAATGGTCCAGATTTGATCCATCAGGAAAAGCAGGAAAAGATATGTGGTTGTGATTAACTACTCCGATATTTGATGTGTGGCGGTGATCAAATATTCAGAACTCCTTCAAATAAAAGAACACCCGACATATATCCTAGGTTATATCGAAATAACCGTAGTTTGGTTGGTCTTCCTTCTCCTTTTTTTTTCCTCGTTCAGACCTCATACCTCCATTGATGTCCAAAGTGAGCTGGGGTTTTGAATTTCTAACATCCCCCCTCAAGTTGGTGGGGAGTGTAGCGACCCCCAACTTGCTCAGAATCCCTTTATGAGAAACCCCATAAAGGGGCTTTGTGGATAAATCGGCCAACTAATCTTTGGATGGAACAAAAGAAAGAGTAATGAGCCCAGAAAGAAACTGTTGACGCACAAAGAGGCAGTCAAGCTCGACATGCTTTGTGCGTTCATGAAAAACAGGGTTACGGGCAATATGAATGGCTGCTTTACTATCTGAGTGAAGAGGAATTGAAAGAGTAATAGGAGTGGAGAGGTCATCAAAGAGACGTACAAGCCAGCTTAGCTCGGCAGTGACTCCCCTCATGGAGCAGTATTCGGCTTCGACAGAAGAAAGAGAGATGGATACTTGTTTCTTGGATTTCCAAGAAATCGGAGATCCCCCCAAAGTGATGAAGAAACCACTCACCGACCTTCGAGTGTTCTTTGCAAGAGGCCCAATCGGCATCACAAAAAGCAAGGAGAGAAAAATCTGGTGTAGAAGATAACAAAATCCCCTGTCCAGGATCAACACTCAGATATTTAAGAACCCTTAAAGCTGCAAAGAAATGTGTTCGGCAAGGGCGTTGCATGTATTGGCTCAAAGTGAGAACAGCAAAGGAGAGATCTGGGCATGTGTTGGTAAGATAGTTCAGCTTGCCAACCAAGTGCCGATATAAAGTTGGATTGTCCATGAGAGGACCATCGTCTGCTTGAAGCTTACAATATGGATCCAGAAGAGAAGTTGCACGAGGCAAATGAGAGACATCAAACTCGTTGAGCATATCCAGGGTAAATTTTCGTTGACTGACAATAAACCCATTACTTTATCGCAAAATTTCTAGTCCAAGAAAATAATGTATGTCTCCTAAGTCCTTTACCTTGAATTCAGAATTGAGGAATTCTTTGATGCTTTGAATTTCCTGTATATCATCCCTTGTTAATAATATATCATCAACATAGACTGCTAAAATAGATATGAGACCTCTTGTTTTCTTGAAAATCAGAGAATAATCATTCAATGATGATGAGTATCCTTTAATACTTAATGCCCCTGCAAGCCGAGCATACCACTGCCGTGAAGCTTGCTTCAATCCATATAAAGACTTTTTCAATGGACAAACATGTCTAGGACTAGGAGGGGTGAGACCTGCTGGAAACTTCATGTACACTTCCTCTTGTAAGTCTCCATGTAAAAATGCATTATTCACATCTAATTGAGACGCATTCCATCCCGTTTTTGATGAAACATCAAGAATACATCTTATAGTTGTCATTTTGACTACTGGACAAAAGGTTTCACTGTAGTCTATTCCCTCTCTTTGGATATCCCCCCTTACTACAAGTCTTGCTTTTAGTCTTTCAATGGTCCCATCAGACAAGTATTTTACCTTATAAACCCATTTACAAGGCAATGGATTCTTCCCTTTAGGTAACTCAACCACTTTCTAAGTTTGGTTGTCTTGCAAAGCTTGAATTTCTGATTCCATGGCTTTTCTCCAGCCTGGATGATGAGAAGCCTGTTCATAACTCCTAGGTTCATTTAAAGTAGATAGGGACTGGATGAGATGTTGATTATTGATAGTTAGAGATGAAAAGGAGTAGGCACTAGGCCTGGTTGGGTGAGAAAAACATTCCCTATCCAAATCAGCAAATATGATGTTGTTACACACATAGTCTTTAAGATACACTGGTGTCGACGCCCCCTTTGTTTTCCTCGCGGAATCGGGTTCACGACATTTGGGAAGACAACTCTTTTCCCACTTTGGGAATTGGGTTTTTTTGAGAGTTTGGAGAGTCGCCACCTAATGATTATAGTGCATTAGGACACTTTTAGAAGAATTAAAGATGCAGACCAGAGTTTTGGGTAAGGGCTTGAACTTATCTCGAGGGGAAGGTGTTAGGCACCCCTCAAGATCCACTAGTGTGGTTCCCGGCCATGCTACAATTGTGACTTTAGATGTAAATGTAAATAAACAAGTACAAGAAGCACAAAAGGTTAAAAGAAGCGCTGAATTTTAAAGGAGCAATTTTTGTAAAAAAACGTGCAAGTAGAGGATAAGGTCAAGTACTTAGTGCAAATAATCCGAAAGATCATGCGAGAAGCAAAAATTGAAAATGCAATAGCTTTAAAGATTCAGAAAATTTTGTTAAACTAATAAAGAAGGAGAGAGGGGACTTAGGTTTATACATTACATGGATCATTCGCACAACACTAGTACTCAGTTGTACGCGGAGTGTTATCGTGTAATCATCATCTCCATGTCTACCCTTCCCACCCCGTTAAGGTACTAAGGCGCGGAACGGTATCGTTTACTTATCGCATGCTACTACCCGTCCCAATCCTATTAGTCCCGGGGCATTAGGACTTCTAATCCTAAAGGGGAAGAAAGGGATGGGGGCCTTTGTGGAGTTTAAAGGATAAAATTCTAGCTCGACATTCAAAATAAGTATTAAGTAAAAGGGGAGGACAAGCAAGTATACAAGGCTCAAATTAACCCCAGAAGTCAAACAATCATTTAGTTTAGCATGCCTTGACAAATACTGATTTGGTCTTAGATTAAATTAAGCAGCGAGCGGACTGGTTCAACACATGTATTTAAACAGAGAGTCTGCATTAGGCAACTCGGATACAGTTGTCAGGGACTGACCCAATTCATTAATTAGTCAACCTTTGTTTATGAGTTGAAATAAAAACCTAGGCGTAGGATCTATTAATTTCAGGAAAAAAGATGCAAAGAGTTACCAGTAGTTTCAGAAAAGATGCAAGTTGATTTTAGAAAAAAGAATTATCAGTTTAAACAAAGAGAAAAGATGCAAACCGATTTTAGAAAAGAGTTACCAGTTGTTTCAGAAAAGATGTAGACTGATTAAAAGGTTTACGAGTTTCAGGGGAGTGCAGATTGGTTATAGGGAAAGAGTGTAGATTACCAATTTTAGCGGGTTTCAGAAGTAGAAAATTACCAGTTTTAGTAAAGACACTAGTTCCAGCAATCGATACTGCTTAAGAACGAATGATGCTATTAAAGACGAGGTTTCCTATAGGCATGCTTTCTATACATTTACCGATTTTAACACCCTTTCATGACATTAATAGGAGTCTTATACACATGATGTCTATATGCAACTTTGTTATTGAGCCTATAAACGGATTGCCTAATGACATTTGTATATGCAGAAATGCAAGAGCCTATAGACATGATCTTTATATGTGTCATTACAGAACATGAATGTTAAATCCTATAGACATGCTTTCTAGGTGATTTTGCGGTAAAGTTAAGCGTTAAATCCTATAGGCATGGTCTCTATGTGATTGAATCAGTATTAAAGACCCTATAGGCAGGATTTCTAGTTTGAATAAAAA